CGAAATATCAATTTAAACACAACAAAACCATTTAACATAACTTGTTCTGCAAATCATAAAAGTTTTTCCTCAGATACACATCACCAATGCCTTATTATTGGAAAAGCAAAAACACAACGACGAACTCGCCCCTCCCCCCACAAAAAATCACCTCAAGTGGATCCTTTGAAACTCCACCCTTGAAACACGGACTTCAAAACTGAAAAATTGGTGATTTCATAGTGCACCAAATGCTCGGTCTCCCAATACCGGGTAAATCTGGTTTTCCATCCGTCCTCAACTGTGCTAATGTCTGCCCACTCGTCTGCGCTGAACGGCGCTGCCTCTGCTACTCACTCGCTCCCCTCAAAAATCTGTTTCTGAGGGTCAGGCTGATGCTGAGAACTTTCTCGGAATTTCTAAAGAGCCAAAGGGTGCCTCCCAGAGTGCCACCTGCAAAGGCAGTGCCATGGAGGCCTCTAAACGCCAGGCTTCTCGCCGGGGCACCTCACGGTCCTCCCGAACAAGTCTCGCTCTGGAGTGCTCAGGAAGGCGAAGGCCCCGGGAGACATCTCTCTGAGGGGGTACTGCTGGTGCCTCGCCTTCAGCAAGCGGCAAAATGGTTCCACACCACCCAGCACATTTTACCTCAGAGCAGCCCTCATCTGCCGTAACCGGCCCAAGCGTGCTCACCTTCTCTGCAGGCCCACTATGCGCAGAGGCCCGACAGCCAAAGCGCTTGGAGGACGGGCTTGTGTGGCGGAGCGCAGGTTTTCAAGCTCCTTGGGCCTCACTGAAAGCCCGAGGGTTCGCGGAGGAGGAGCTGCTTCTGACAGACTCCTCCCTCCGGCAATGTTACAAACCTCTGAGGGACGCGGACCCCTAGGAGGCGCTAGGGACTTCCGTAGACCCTTGGGCTTGGGGTCCTCCGAGACTACTTCCGGTGTTAAAGCGGGGGAAAGTTCCCTCCTCCCAGATGCTACTAGCCGGGTCACAACGTTCCTCTTCATTCCAGGCCCTCTGCCCGCCCCGCCCCAGCACCCCCAGACACGAGCTGAGTAGCAACTGATAAGGAGTATGCAACCAGAAGGCAGGGTGTTTTGAATTCCCTCGGGGCGCAATGTGGACCGCAAGAAGGTCAGCTCTCAGTCTATTCAAAAGGGCTGCTATAGCCTGATGGGAACCAAAATTTCGTCCATGTATCAAGTTGAACACCAAGTCCCTCCAAGTGGGCTCAGCAAGGCAAAATCAGTGGCACCTGGAACCCCAGAGAATTACGGGAGGGCAACTGCAAGGTGTTCCCTTCGACCTGCCATCGCATTAAGCACGGCGATCTGAACCACAGGGCCAGCTTTCTTTTACGCTTTCCAATCTGCCTTCCCCTTCTGCCTTTTCCTGGAGAGACATCCACCAGAGCTTTGTAGGGTTGCCCTATATTATACCATTTGACTTCTCAAGTCTGTTTCTAAACAGTCTTTTGGGGAACACAGTTCCACAACCTCCCTCAGCCACTCACTTCAGAACTGAATAATCCGCACTGCAGAACAGATTTAACCCTACATGTTGTTTACTCAAGCTAATTTTGTAACAAGTTAAAAAGATCTGGGCCTCCAAGTGGCACGTTGGCTGAGAGCTGCCTTGGAACGCCAGCTCTGAGCAGCAGGACCCCGATTCAGATTCCACATATGAGGGCCAGTGATGCTGCGCCCTCCACAGCTAAAATGGTGAACAGCAGCTCGACCTGGAGCTGGGCTGCCATGAGTCGCATAGGCTGCATTGGGTCTGGCCGGCAGCTGGCATGTGCTTTCATGAGCTGCCAGAGAACTGCTGTCCAATGGCCAGCGAACGACTGCCTCATCTGGGAAGAGCGCAATGATAATACCAACATGGGCCAGTGAGGCAACGTCCTCCACAACTAGACTGCAGAACAAAAGGACAGCAACTTGTCTGTTCCCCTTCCCCGATTCCCCAAAGCTGTTCCCCTCCCCCAATTCCCCAATTTAAAAAACAAAAAGATCTTCAATGAGCTGAAAGATATAAAATCAGCTTTTATTCTGATCCAAAACTCAGTGAGAGATGAATAAAGTAAATATTAATTTAACATCATTAATATTAAACTTTATTCATAATAGTGACAACCTTTGCCCTTCAGACAAGGAGGACATGTCACATAAAGAGCTCCAGAAATTTCTATGTCCTACACGATCCTGATTTCAAAACTGGGTCACTGAATCATTTCACAATGTGTAAGTATATCAAAATAATACATCATACACCTTAAATATATATACCTTTTATACATCAATAAAGCTGGGGGGGTGGACCACTCAGAGGGGTAGTCATTGGAGTATTCTTTTCTCCATACTAAAATTAAAGATAAAATTCTAAACTTTTATGGAGTTTCGAAAGAAGCTAAACTCAGTTTCAGGAGGGACTCATTTTAAAACACCATGATTCTTCCCAAAGTACATTTTAAATAGTCCATTTGGATTGTAGCCATACTACAGCCTTCAGGCACCACAGATTCTAATTAAATATTATGTTTAAAAGCTTCAGGATGGCATGCCATCTAAAATAACCAGGAAATGATAAAGCAAAAAGTTGTTTAGTGAAGCAAGGACTTATGCAACATTTCCAAATCCTAAAGCACAATGTTACATAAGGGACAGAAAAGGTCCCATCTTCCCCAACTCTCATGTTCTTGTCCTTAAAGAAATCGGTTCTTTCGGTGCCAGATTACCTGCAAGGGAGTAGTGACAGCATGTATATACCGGGGGTGCCAAAAAATGTATACAAGTGGACACTTTGATTGACGTTGCTCAGGCAGTAGTTCGCCATAATCAGAAGTGTCTGGACACTGATGGTAACCACTTTGAGAACCTCTTGTAACTGCAGAAGCAAACGTGACTTGTATTTATCTTTTGTTATCAGTATATATTGAGTATTACAATTTTAATGCAGTTTTCCTTTCTTAAAATGTGTATACAATTTTTTGGCACCCTCTGTATGTAATGCTTGTCATTTGTAGAGCATATCATCAGCGTTAATTAACTTTAATTATGTAATTAGCACTGAGTTGTCGGAGACAACATTCAAGAGAGAGGGATTATTAAATGCATTAATCCTAATAACGATCAGCCAAGCTTCTTCAGGAACAAAGCATGACTCACCCTAAAAGCAGAGAGATTAGGAGCAGTGAAGCAAGACAGAAAGAGCTTGGGCTTAAGTAAAAATCCTGGCCTGTCTTGGAGAATGTAATTAACATCTCGGAAGCCATGGTGTCCTCGGGACAATGGGCCAAATAATAAGCAGTACCTGGCTCCTAGAGTTGGGAAGATTCAATGGGGTGATGCCTGCAAAGTATATGGGACCTGGCAGGAAGGAGGCCCTGGTCGGTGAGGCTGTAATTACCATCAGGAGCCACAATGGAATAGTCACCAAAGGCAGGGGGGGTTCCCAGATGTCCATCCTTCCTGAACACAGCATGCAGAAATCATGCGATTTCCACCTGAGACTCTCCTGATATTGCTTGGAAGTACCATCTTACCTCTGGTCTTTCTCACAAGGGACCAGCCAATATCAGACACTAGGGCACTCCTCAGTAAAGAAAAGACAGTCACCAGTAACCTCTCCAGCAAACTTCCAAATTCCATGGAAATCTCCAAAGGAATTCCCTGGAAGACAAAAACCCAAGTGATGTACGGTTTTACCTCTGTGTGGTCATCAAACTTCCAGTTGTTTGGTTAGACTCCAAAGAAGGTAAGTATCTCCTTTTCACATTTCTTGAGGAAAAAGAGAACACACTTGTACAAAATCAACATCAAGTTACTACTGGCTTGGAAAGATACCCATACACTTGTCCACCACCATTTCATTCAGATGCCATTTTGTGGAGCTATGGTAATACTACTACATCTGAAATGCACTGATCAATATGTGATTTTTGTTTCCATTAAAATCCCTCATTTATTATTAATTTTTATTAAATTTTTAAAAAGATTTTATTGGGGAATTGGGGGAGGGAACAGCATTGGGGAATTGGGGAAGGGGAACAGACAAGTTGCTGTCGTTTTGTTCTTCAGTCTAGTTGTGAAGGACATTGCTTCACTGGCCCAAGCTGGCACCATCATTGCGCTCTTCCCAGGAAGAGTAGATCAGTCGCTGGCTTCTGGACGGCCGCTCACGGCGGCTGCCAGCCACTCATGCTGGCTGCTGGCTACACATGGTAGCCCATGGCAACCCACTGCAGCAGGGGCTGCAGCCTAGGCCGTCGCCGGTGACTCACAGCAGCCCAGCTCCAGGTTGAGCTGTTGTTCAGCATCTTAGCTGTAGAGGGCAGTGTCACTGGCCCTCATATGTGGGATCCAAACTGGGGCCCTCTGGCATCCCAAGCCAGCTCTTAACCAAAGTGCCACTCGGCTGGCCCTAATTTTTATTAAATTTATTGGGTGATGTTGGTTAGTAAAGTTACATAGGTTTCAAGTGTATAATTCTACAATACATCATCTACGAGGTCTGACAATTAAGTTCGTGAACTTGCCACTGTACACTTACATTGGCAGCATTGTACAAACAGCTTGGTAAGGTTTCATAACCTTGGTATATCAGTGTCTCACAGTTGTGTTTGTGTCGATGTGTGGCAGTGTCTTGTTGAGTGGCGATCATGATGGTTGTTGTGTGTTTTTGTGTGCCTTCGCGAGAATGTCTGAGCTTGAATTAGAGCAATGACCAAACATTAAATTTCTTGTTAAACTTGGCAAGAGTGGAAGAGAAATCAGGGACATGTTAGTCCAAGTTTATGGGGATAATGCCGTGAAGAAAACAGCAGTGTACAAATGGATTGAGTGTTTTTTTGAAGGGAGAGAACACATCACTGATGAAGAGAGGTCAGGGCAGCCAGTAACAAGCAGAGCTGACGAAAACATTGCAAAAATTTGTCAAATTGTGCGTCAAAGTCGTTGGCTGACTGTGAGAAGCATAGCAGACCAGGTAAACATCGATAGAGAAACACTTAGGAAAATCTTAACTGAAAATCTTGGCATGAGAAAGGTGTGTGCAAAAATGGTCCCTAAGGGGCTCACCAATGAGCAAAAAGGGAGTTTTTAGCCAGTAAATAAATAACTGTATTGGAACACCCTCCCTACTCACCTGATCTGGCCCCCAATGACTTCTTTCTTTACCCAAAGATAAAGGAAATATGGAAAGGAAGACATTTTGATGACATTCAGGACATCAAGGGTAATACGAGGACAGCTCTGATGGTCATTCCAGAAAAAGAGTTCCAAAATTGCTTTAAAGGGTGGACTAGGCATTGGCATTGGTGCATAGCTTCCCAAGGGGAATATTTTGAAGGTGACAAGGTAATGATATTCAGCAATGAGGTATGTAGCACTTTATCTAGAATGAGTTCACAAACTTAATTGTCAGACCTCGTATAGATTGCACTGTGTGTTCACAACCCAGAGTCAGTTCTCCTTCCATCACCATATACTTGACCCCCTTTTCCCTCTTCTACCATCCCCGAACCCCTTACCCTCTGGTAACCACTAAACTGTTGTCTGAGTCTATGAGTTTTTGTTTATTTGTTTATCTTGTTCCTTTGTTTCTTTCAGTTTTATATCCCACGTATTGAGTGAAATCATATAGTTATCGACTTTTTCTGTCTGACTTATTTCGCTTAGCATGATAATCTCAAGATCCATCCATGTTGTCGCAAATGGCAGTATTTCATCTTTTCTTACAGCTGAGAAATATTCCATTGTATACATGTACCACATCTTCTTCATCCAATCATCTATCAAAGGACACTTTGGCTGTTTCCATGTCTTGGCCACTATAAATAAAGCTGCAATGAACATCGGAGCTCACACACACACACACACACACACACACACACACATATATTTTTAAAGATTTTTATTGGGGAATTGGGGGAAGGGGAACAGACAAGTTGCTGTCCTTTTGTTCTTCAGTCTAGTTGTGGAGGATGTTGCTTCACNCATAAAAGTTTTTCCTCAGATACACATCACCAATGCCTTATCATAGGAAAAGCAAAAACACAACGACGAACCTGCCCCTCCCACTCCAAAAAATCACCGCAAGTCGATCCTTTGAAACCCGCCCGGGAAGAGCTCAAAGATGGTGCCAATTTGGCCAGCGAAGCAACGTCCTCCACAACTAGACTTAAGACCAAAAAAACGACAGCAACTTGTCTGTTCTCCTTCCCCCAATTCCCCAGCGCTGTTCCCATCCCCCCATTCCCCAATAAACATCTTAAAAAAAAAAAAGAATGAATCGTTTCCGAAATATCAATTTAAACACAACAAAACCATTTAACATAACTTGTTCTGCAAANTTGTTCAGCATCTTAGCTGTAGAGGGCAGTGTCACTGGCCCTCATATGTGGGATCCGAACCGGGGCCCTCTGGCGTTCCAAGCCAGCTCTTAACCAACGCACCACTCGGCCGGCCCACATATATCTTTACGAATAAATGTTTCCTGATTTCTGAGGTAGATACCCAGGAGAGGACTTGCTAGGTCACATGGTAATTCTATTCTTAATTTTTTGAGGAACCTCCACACTGCCTTCCATAGTGGCTGCACCAATATACATCCCCACCAATGTATGAGGGTTCCTTTTTCTCCACAGCCTCTCCAGCACTTGCTATTATTTGTCTTGTTGATGACAACCATTCTAACTGGTGTGAGGTGGTATCTCACCGTGGTTTTGACTTGCATTTCTCTAATTGTTAGTGAAGTTGAGCATTTTTCATGTATCTGTTGGGTGTTTGTATTGTCTTCTTGGGAGAAGTTTCTGTTTATGTCCTCTGCTCACCTTTTAACTGGATTGTCTGTCGTTTTGTTGTTGAGTTGTATGAGTTCCTTATATATTTTGGATATTAGCCCCTTATTGGAGGCATTGTTTGCAAATATCTTCTTCCACTTGGTTGGTTTTCTCTTTGTTTTGTTGATGTTTTCTTTCTCTGTGCAGAAGCTTTTTAGTTTGATATATTTTCATTCATTTATTTTAGCTTTTACTTCCCTTGCCTTTGAGGTCAAATTCATAAAATCCTCTTTGAACTCAAGGTCCATAAGTTTACTACCTATGTTTTCTTCTATGCAGTTTATTGTTTCAGGTCTTATGTTTAGGTCTTTGATCCATTTTGAATCTATTTTAGTATATGGTAACAGATAGCAGTCTAGTTTCATTCTTTTTCATGTGGCTTTCCAATTTTTTCAGCACCATTTATTGAAGAGGCGTTGTTTCTCCATTGTAAGTTTTGGGTTCCTTTGTCGAAAATTATCTGTCCGTATTTATGTGGGTTTATTTCTGGGTTTTCATTTCTATTCCATTGGTCTGTTTTTCTGCCAATACCATGCTGTTTTGAGTATTGTTGCTCTGTAGTACAAGCTGAAGTCAGGGAGTGTGATACCTCCAGCCTAGTTTTTTTTTCTTAGGATTGCTTTGGTTGTTCGGGGTCTTTTGTGATTCCATATAAATCTGATGTTGTGTTGTTTTATTTCTTTAAAAAATGCCATTGGAATTTTAATGGGGATTGCTTTAAATCTGTATATTGCTTTGGGTAATATAGCCATTTTAACTATGTTGATTCTTCCAATCCATGAATAGGGAATACCTTTCCATTTCTTTGTGTCTTCTTCAATTTCTTTTAATAATTTCTTATAGTTTTCAGTATATAGGTCCTTCACATCCTTTGTTAAGTTTATTCTTAGTTATTTTATTCTTTTTGTTGTTTTGCAAAAGGGATTGTTTGTGGGGAGCCATGGTTACAGGTAATTCAGAGCCTTACAGACTGGCTCAGTTAATGCTTAACCTGTTTCTGCTCCTAAGGCCTTGTCTCTGCCTGCACTGGAGGGTGCTTACAAGTTGTTGAGGTACGTGGTGAAGATGGCCAGTTCCTTAGGAGATACTATAGATGGCTATCTTGGCTA